TCAATCGAATACGACTCCATAGCGATCAATGGTAAACATTCAACTAACAAAATGACATGTCGGTGACAGAAAACAAAGATAGCGTCTATGTCAAATGCGTCCCTATTGGACAACCCTTTATGTAAATCATAAGTATCTACCACATAATCATTCTTGTTTTTAGGGTTAGGTCCAGATTCACGTATTCTCATTATACGTTGCAAAAGTTCAGTATAACCACTATCATTCATTAATTTTGAATTCTGCAACCTCTGGTCATAAAGTTCCAAGAGTATTTTTTCAAATTCTTGCTGTTGATTTATTTTCAATAGCTGGTTGCTTATTTTGGAACGAATTTCACAAGATACGATACTAAGCAATAACAAATGCTTGCTACAAACCACCTACAAACCTCACTTTAACAATAAATTAACCAGAGGATTAGTTAGTTTACAATACTAACCAACGAATTGGTTATTCATCGTAAACGAGACAGACGCAACTACTGGCAGCTCAGTTTTTTTTTGAAAAACTCTCAGACCCGTCGATTTTGTTTTCCAAGTTTGGCAAAAAATCGTTAGCACGTGCAGCCCCCAAAGCGGGGGTGACACCACCCCCAAAATCTTAAATGGAAAGGGGGGTCGAGGGATACCTTATTTTAAAGGTCTTTCAATTCCCCTTATAATTATATAAAATTAATGTACTTCAGTTCAGTAGTTTTGAAGATTTATTGATTTAAATCTTAAATAAAACTAATACATCATCATTAGTGGAGATCAATACATTTGGCAGCAAAGTAATTTAAAAATGAAGAATGAACTGACCCGTTAGGCAAGTAAATGTTGAAAATGGCCACGATGACTCTCCATGCAATAATAAAGATTTTGCTCAAAACGTTGCCGCACATTTTGCAATATTTGAGGACTAATTTGAAGGCACTTATTCACAATTCTTTGTCGCTGGTCTTCTAATGATGTTGGCTGAGTAGCATAGATTTTGCTCTTTAAATGACTCCACATAAAGAAATCCAAAGGTGCTAAATCTGGCGATCTTGGGGGCCATTCAATGGCACCTCTTCTACCAATCCATCGATCTGGAAACGTCAGATCTAAATATTGTCGAACACGTAATGCGTAATGTGGTGGGGCACCATAATGTTGGAACATCAACCTATTCGCAATGTACCGCCGATCATTCTGACTTTCAATAATAGCTGTTAATGCAGGATCTAAGGCGTCTTCCAGTAATTCCAAATACATTTCACCGGTCAAATTTCCAGATAAGAAAAAAGGACCAACTAAATGATCGCCAAAAATACCAGCCCAAACATTTAATTTTTGTGGCTGCTGTGTATGAACCTCATGATAAATTCTGGGACCAATATCGGCAGTTAGGACGATTTACTACGCCAAGACAAAGGAACATTCGTCGGAAAAGCAAGTGTTGGATAGAAAATGTTCAACGTTTATAATTCGTTCACCCATATCTTCACAAAATTGTAATCGCCGATCAAAATCGTCTTCGTTAAGTTCTTGTACCAGGTGAATTTTATACGGATGAAAGCTATGGGCTTTTAGAATCCGTTGGACGGTACGTCGACTAACACCACACACAGTCTCCAATTTGCGGGTACTTAACGTAGGATCTACATAAACTTGCCCTAAAACCCCCACTTCTACTGCTTCTTTGCTTATGGGATTTTCAATGTTGCGTTTTTTATTGGCGACTGACCCAGTTTCCCTAAACTTAGCTACAAGTTCTAGAACATATTTTCGATGCACGTTACTGTTCCCATGTCGCTCATTAAATATTTCTGCTGTTCTATTAGCGAACTGATATATCCAAAAATATTTCGATAATATCAACTCTTTCTGCTGTGAAATATACCATGGTTAATTTATGTAATATAATAAAGCATTACAAGTTATTTTAGCAACAAAGTTTGGTCAAATCAATCGCCAACTATGTACTAAATTCCTATTTAAAATAAGTACGAGATATCTCCTTATCTTTCTTCAAGAAATAACTTTTTTGCCACAAAAAACGCTCCAATAGCTATTTTCATCAAAATGATAAACAAGGCATGGGCATAGTGAACAAAAACATTTACTTATTAAGTAAATTCTTTTAGTCAAATTTCTTCTGAAAGTAGTACAATCTAATCTGATGTACCTATTAAAGTCTACTTTAAGCTTTAAATCAATAAATCTTTAAAACTACTGGACTGAAGTGCATTAATTTTATATATAATAACAAACGTAACAAGTAGAATGACTAACATGAAATCACAATATAAGACGCTGATGCATACAAAAGAGCATTTAATTCAAATACACAGTTGAGATATTTCACAATGCTATAGATCGCGTTATTCAACATAATTGCCCTTTTCTGCACTAAAAAGAGAGACATCTGGTATGGTTTTTAGGCGATTTGGTAACTTGTTGTACAACTCTTTTGAGGCTAGAGACAGTCTAAAACGTCACATATGTTTTCTAAATTTATTTTATTTATTTATATACAGTTTGGGGTGATAACAGGTAAACCCAACACACACCCTCAGTGAACTAAAACTAAACTTACATGAAATATCGTATACATATACATATATTACATTATTGAATACTTCAATATTAATATTTTTTTTATCTTCCGATATTGTTGTAACAACATAAACTGAGTGAGTAGTTCTAATTATAAGCAATAAACTATTAATTTAACTTTTTTAATAAAAGGAGTATACATAATTTAACATTTACTTACGTTTAATTAAAACTGAAATCAAAATTAAATTGAAATTATACCAGAAATGATATTGGAGGTAATAACTTGGGTTATGTAAAAAAATAATACATTTCTATTTTAGTCTGCCATAGAGCTATAATACTCATACTTTAAAGCCTTTTTCAGGAAGGTCAAGCTAATGTTAGATAAATCTATATTACAGAAATTATTATGATTTTCTTGAGCCCTGACCAAAGGGGAATTAAGACCAAGATTAGTTCTACGGAACGGTATTCTAAATAGATGATAGGTTCTAAACGTTCTATCAGGAGTGTTAAAGTTCAAGTTTGCCAAAAGATCCGGACAGTCAGTGAGGCAATTCAACAATTTATGAACACAGCAAATGTCAGAAATCGTTCTTCTATATTTTAAGGAAATCATATTGAACTGTTTCATAATTTGCGTATAATGATGATCTGTGACAGGTTGGTGAGTTTTATGTGCTAACATCTTCAAAAATTTGTGTTGAATTCTTTCTATCCTGGCTATATGTACATTGTAAGACGGATTCCATATTACTGATGCAAACATCAATTTGTTGTGTATATAAGCGTAGTACAATGAAAGAAGCGTTTTTGGGTTCGTAAATTCTCTGCATGTCCTGTTTATGAACCTTAGTGTTCTATTTGCATCATTTACGATGTGCTCTACGTGAGTGATGAATGAGAGTTTCTCACCAATATATACCCCTAGGTCTTTTACTACATGAAGCTTTTCCAGTTCTGCCGTCCCTATCTTATATCTGAAATCTAAATAAATCAAACGTAGTCCAGTTGATGACAGAATTGCGTTTTAAGAACACAGTCAACCTACTTGACGCCATTTGTTACTCAAAACTAGGCTAACCATAAAAACGCAACGACTACATTAAACCCTGCTACGCCAGGGTCTGTCGTGAATGGGGAAACAGCAGCACATGTGCCTGCACTCCAGTTAACTGCGAAGAGTCCCAATAGACCAGCGGCAGTTCTCCAGCGGAATCTGAATGAACGAAACAATGCGCGACGATATTTCTGGCGAAGTTAACAACATGAAAGGACTGCTTGTTCCTGTGTGCATCCCATATCCATTGTTTGACATATAAATGGAAAATTCACCGAATTACTCCATATAGGTGGAAGTAGAACTTCATCCGTTTCTTCCTTTTTGTATTTTCTCATTCCCGGGCAATCTTGTAGAGAGCTATCAGCATCTCTGGAATACGAACAAACAAACTGGGACTCGGAGTAAATGTATCCGTTTTTAGCAACGACAAGCGTTTTTGGGAATAAGTACCGCGTCCGAAATACGGGGTGTTCGGAAAACAGACGGAGATATTTTAAAGGGTGATTTTTTGTTGAAGAATATGGAAAAGTTTCTATAAGCATGGGTCCGGAAATGCTGAGATTTCAAGATACAGGGTGATAAATTTAAAAAGATATTTTTTTTTACTATTACCTTAAAGAAAATTAGCAACAGAGAAATACGAAACTGAGGAAACCAAGGGGTTAACTACAAAATAACCAACAACCAAACAAACAAGTATTTTACAACACAAGTATTATAAAACGAAATTAGAAATGATGCAGCGTCAGAAGCCACCTGTAACTTATAATCTTCACGAAAATAAAACTTATTATAACTTATAAGTACACTTTAATCAGTAAAACTAATACTTAAGCTTCTTCTTGTTTGTTGACCTAATTGGCGGAGAGGAAGTTCGTCATTCTCATAATTTCCTTCATCTTCATCTGGGTCTCGTTCAACTAACTCAATGTCAGGACCGCCCAAGCTCTTCACAACATTATGGAGTACAATACAAGCAATAATTGTTTTCGGCACATTTTCCAGCTTTACGCGGCAAACATACTGTAGGATAGTTTCAGTTGGCCAAAACAGCATTCAATTATAACTCTTTCTTGTTTTAAAAGCATATTGTAATTTATTTCTGCATCTGGAGTAGGATTTCTGAAGGGAGTCATAAGGCATGGCTCAATACCATAATCGTCAGTAGTACAACATTTGCTTTATTTATTAGATGTGATCTAGTCGGTGAATTTTTCCATATTCTGGAATCATGCACTGATCCAGGCCAACTGACATCAACACTTGTGAACATCTCTCTGGCATCACAAGTATCTTGCACATTTAAAGTAGGTTTCCCTTTTCGGTTGATATACTCATCTCCATGGCGATTTGGTTTCAGGATTTCTATATGTGTATAATCAATTACATCAATTGCTGTAGAAAATTGCCATATCTGCTTGACCTCCATCAGTTCACGGTTGGTAGTTGGAAACTTGATCCATTCGTTCGACTATGCAACTATGCTGTTCACAACTCTATCCACAGTCCGAGATACCGTTGCTTGACAACACCAAGTTCCTGACCAATACCTTGTTGATATCCAGGGTCACCGAGACAGCGTAGACATATCTTCATTTTATGAATACATGAAGGTGCTCCTCCTCGAGTTTCCTCATTCTCAACTAAAAATCTGCCCGCAAGCCATTGTACATTTGCTTCTTCGAACTGATATAATTTTTTAAAGTCACGACCATGTAAAGGTAAGCGAGGTTTGTACGTTTTAACAGCCCTAACATCCACAATTTCCGCCATCATCGCTTGACCTCCTTGTTGAGTCTGCTACTGACCACACTCAGAATTTTTGAAGGAGATGCTTCCTAGGCCAAGTATAAGGTGACGATTATGAATATCCTTTTACTTATGTCACTGCTTGAAGGATATGCTTATACTCAAAGCATATGTACTTCAAATTACTATAAATACCATCTGGAGGATTTCCCTCAAAATTTGCAAGTACAAGGATATCCTTTGTTTTATGAATTTCATTTTTCATTAACATCGATTCTGTTGAAATTTGGCAATATTATTTGTTCTATTACGAGGCTGACTTAGCCCTAAATAGATTGGAATTATAAGGTCCAGTGGCGTCCCGGGGGCACCTTAGCGAATACTACTGGCAAAAACATGTACGCCTCTTTGTAACATTTCAGGTTGAGCAGGCTCTTCCGGCGTGACCTCCTCGTTATTCTTTCAAATATCCTGTGTCACGAAGTCTAATAACTAAATTTATAAATATCCGTGGGGCCGGATGATTTCTTCAAGGAAACCTTCCGCAAACAACCTCCACGCTGCGGCTGTATTTTGTTGGCACTCTCCTTATGTGGTATTATATCAACTAGTTAATTGTTTTCGAAAACATGGGCCATTTAAAAAAAATAAGCCAAAAAACGCTGAGAATTTACACGGATTTGGTCGAGAATATCAAAGAATTTGTGTAACATTCTTATTTTTGGAGATACTTTATCTTTTACTATTTCTTTTATTATGCAACGAGTCCTACAAGAAGTTAAAATAAATGCCTCAACTTTGAAAACACCCTGTATGTCCTCATCAGACTGTGCATGGCTTTTGACTTGCGCCATTTCTAAGAATTTATGGAAAATCGCTACTTTTGATACTGTACTATTTTTTACTGAAGTTGTCTTTGTTATTTTCCAGCCAGATTTACAGGATATATTCCTAAATGATGTGTCGCTGGAAAAAAGCTATGAGTGAAAATTTAGTTTAGTTAATAATCCCCTCTATAATCCCCTTTTCTTTGCTCTGTGACTCCTGGGACACCCTGAGTGAAAATTTAGTTCAGTTAGTAATCCCCTCTATATCCACTTTCGTTGCTCGGTGACATCTGGGACACCCTGAGTGAATGGTTTTATTTTAATAAAATTTTGTATAAGTACTTAATGAAGCATAATAAGTAAATGATAAAAATTTCAAAATGATTGCACTGCTTTAAAGCCCTTTGACCTTTAATAATGTGTGGATGCACCCTGATGTGCTACGCATTCTCCAACGGGCCTAGGCATGCTTATGATCAGGTGGTCAATGTCCTCCTGTGGTATCTCATTCCAGGCAACCGCCAACTCCTCTCGAAGTGATTCTAGAGTCTGAGGAGGACGTTGCAAATTATGCAATCTCCTACCCATCATATCCCACACGTGCTCAATTGGGGATAAGTCGGGAGATCTTGGTGGCCATGGTAACAATGTGACATCATTATGTTGAAAGAAGTCTATTGTGACTCTTGCAACATGTGGTCGGGCATTATCTTGGAAAGTTGGATCTGCCAGGGTGTCAAGATAGGGTAAACGATGGGGTTCTAGAACTTCGTGGATATAACGCTGCGCGTTCATGTTACCTCTGATGAAGATTAAAGGTGACCTGGAACCATAAGCTATAGCACCCCAAACCATAACTCCAACAGTGTGATGAACATGTCTTTCAACAAAAAACTGTGGATTCCTCCTTTCACCACGTCGCCTTCTAACCCTGGCACGACCATCGTGCATACCTAAACAAAATCGAGACTCGTCACCAAAGACAATACTGTTCCATTCCTGATCCCAGAGTGACCGTTGTCTGCACCACTCAAGGCGATTACGTCGGTGTTCTCGAGTTAAAGGGAGGACCCAGTGTGGCCGGTATGAAAATAAGCCAAAACTTCTCATTCGTCGGTAAACACTTCGCATGCCAATAGGTCTTCCGTGTTCTGCAAGCCATTCATTTGCAATGGACTTGGTAGTGGAGAAACGGTCCCTTAAGGCCAATAATCTTAGGCGGCGATCTTCAAGGTCTGTTGTTCTACGGCGGCGTCCAGTGCCCCTTGCTCTTTGCGTACGGCCTTCTCGAAGCCATGCCTGACAACACCTAACCACAGTGTCTACACTTCTTTGCACTCTAACTGCAATTGCAATAAAAGAAAGTCCAGCTTCCCGAAGTCCCACTATATGGCCCCTATAACTCACTAAGTTGACGGAATCGTACAGGTCTCCGTACTCTAGGCATTGTAACCGATCGTAAAGGATGTCAAGAACCAAATCCGCCAACGTTGATTCTTTACTGCGGAAAATTCATTTTTAGAGCGTTAGTGAATTAAAAAAAAGCAGTATAAAAACCGGAATGTCCAACTGATAAGGCTGAAAATTTGTTCACTTGTTATTTACAGTAAGATAAATACATTCACCAACTTTTATTAAAATAAAACCATTTGAACTGGGTGTTCGGATTTATATGTCACTTATATTTGTTTAAGGTAACAAACATTTAAATAAGATAAGAATGTTAATAAATGATTAACAAATATTTAATGAATACCTCGTGCTATTGGGGGGTTATAGCAAAAATACTATCAAAATCGTTTCAATAGTGAATGAGCTATACAATTACATGATCAAACGGACTTACCTGTAAGTGATGTTCGATCTTAATTATGTGAAGTCTTCGTCGAAGTAAATATTTAGAATAAATTACGTAGTATTATCGTAGCTCTTCGAAGCGTACACGTAGCGAAAGGAGCGACCTACCGTACCTGTCTGTCTCCTCTCCGGCCTATCAATTCTCAGACATAGGAAGAGAGGGAGCTATTTACTTCGACCAAGACTCAACACATAACATAATGATTGAACATCACTTACAGGCGAGTTCGTTTGATCATGTGATTATGTTCCGTCCTCGTCGAAGTATATATTTAGAGTACATTGTAGTACCCTCACCAAGTCCACGAGTTCAAAGCGTGCATGTAGCGAGAGGAGCGACCTACCGTACATGTCTAGTCCTCTCTCGGCCTATCAATTCTCATTTTCTTCAAAGCCAAGTTATTGAACAATAGGTGAAACATAGGGAGCGAGGCAGGTATTTACTTTGACGAGGACTTCACATAATTAGGGATCAAACATCACTTACAGGTAAGTTCGTCTGATCATGCAATTATGTTCTGTCCTCGTCGAAGTAAATGTTTAGAATACATAAAGTAGTACCCCTCGCCAAACCCACGAGTTCGACGCGTGCATTGCGAGATGAGCGACCTACCGTACCTGTCTGCCCGTCTCTGGCTTATTAAATTCATTTTCTTCAAAGCCAAGTTGTTGAACGTAGGGAGCGACGGGGAGCTATTTACTTTGACGAGGACTTCGCATAATTAAGATCGAACATCACTTACAGGTGAGTTCGTTTGATCATGTGATTTAGTTCCATCCTCGTCGAAGTAAATATTTAGAACTACATAGCGTAGTACCCTCACCAAGTCCACGAGTTCAAAGCGTGCATGTAGCGAAAGGAACGACCTACCGTACCTGTCTGTCCCCTCTCCGGCCTATCAATTCTCATTTTCTTCAAGCAAGTTGTTGAACAATTAGGTGAACCATAGGGAGCGAGGGAGCTATTTACTTCGACCAGGACTGCTCATAATTAGGATCGAACATCACTTACAGGTAAGTTCGTTTGATCAAGTAATTATGTTCCATCCTCGTCGAAGTAAATATTTAGAATACGTAACGTAGATGTTCAAAGCTAGTTGAAACAACATACTACTAACGCTGTGCATTAGTAAACGGTAGGTTGTACACAATACAAATTGTACGCAATGTATGTGTCAACTAAATGTGGATTGATAGGCCGGAGAGGGGCATACAGGTACAGTACGTCGCTCCTTTCGCTACATGCATGCTTCCTTTTTTTAGTTCTGATAGATCATCATAAGATGAGATACAACACGTCAATGGAAACAATATACAGAAAATAAACAAGTAGATAACACACATTAGTATATACGTTCAAAATTAAACAAACATTGAAATATAAAATAGACAAACGTTTAACTAAAAATAAAGATTGAATAACGTAGTAGACTCATGGGTTTGGGTGAGCTACGAGGGTACCACGTTATGTACTCTAAATATTTACTTCGACGAGGACGGAACCTAATATTGGATTTTTGGCGCGTCTACGTAATAATGATATAAAAATATAATTACATTATAACATTACAGGTCATTTAGAAGTAATGACATAATACATCTAATTACAGTCTGTTGTTTCAAATAAAAAAACTCACAATCGACGCTTTGGACAAAAAAGACTTAATATGATCTAACTAGGAAACCAGATAACGGTATATACCAAAACCATATAACCCACACATTGAGTCACATTACAAAACATATAACAATAATCATACATAAATACTATTTTATATAAACAAAAACCCCAGAGAAGGCTAAAAAATCAAGAGTGAACCTAGTCGTAATTCCTGAAATCCACAACAGAAGATATCACAAAAACTCACAATCCTATTCGCATTATTGCACATAAAGTTTATTGGTGCTTTAGATAGAAGATTTGTCTGCGCTCTCTTGCAGTAAAAGGAAACCTTATATTTAGATGTCAATCTAGGTACCAGGAAATTAATTTGCGATAGCAAAACAGGACAGTCGATGTTACCATGCAGTAATTTGTATAAAAATATGATGGACGCCTGCTCTCTGCGCTTTTCCAAAGAAGGGATGCCAAATCCATTCAGTAATTGTGAGTAGGTCACATCCTCTTGGAGGATAGACACCATCACTCCTATAGCATAGATATTTTAGAAATTTCTTCTGCACTTTTTCAACATTAGTTTTGTACAGTTTATAGATAGGACTCCAAATAATTGCACCGTATTCTAATTTACTTATAACAAGCACTGAAAATAACTTAATAAGCGTTGTGTTATTGAAATTTCTACAATTTCTGATAATAAAGCCATATTTGCGATACGCACTGATGTGGTAGTTTTAAGTGAGCTGACAATCGAAATAGACGCCCAAATCTCTGAAAGTTTCACACCTTTCC